AGGAACAAGTAATAGGTTTATTCCATGCTGAAAAAAAGAAGAAAGAGAACACAACGTTTCGGCCGTGGAGCCTTCTTCAGGTGTGAGGTGTGAGCTCACACCTGAAGAAGGCTCCACGGCCGAAACATTGTGTTCTCTTTCTTCTTTTTTTGAGCATGGAATAAACCTATTACTTGTTCCTTTGCAGCCTACGCATGCTGACGCAGCTACCCACCTGAACTAATACCTCTACATGCCTGTGCTACTTACTGTGCACAAATACCTACCTATTCTTATGCAATCAAAGTGAAGGTCTCTAATAATAATATTTTTCAGGGAATTATAAAAAGAAATATGATTGTACTTACACTGTATAGAATCAAGATAAGTATAAATCCTTCATGCTTAAAATTCATTTCCTATACAAAATATACAGTATACTGTACTAACAGGGTGGCACAGTGGCGCAGTGGTTAGCTACTATACTACTAATTCCTATAGTGCATTCTTTGTGGTGTTTGTGTTCTCTACCTGTTTGTGTGGGGCTTCTCCCACAATCTGACTGACTACTGTTAGATTAATTATTGCTTGCTGGGAGAGGCTCTGATTCCCCCTACAATGCTGTATTAGATAAACTGGTTAGAAAACAGATAGATGGAAAACTAGCATTCCTGTGTGAAGCAAGAATTTATAGACAAGATGTGATATAGTAACAAGTTTCTATTCATACTCTCATTCACCCTCATTACACCACCCAAATTTTGCTTAAAACAGCTTACTCAATTCTCACACTATAGTTACGGTCCAATAAGTAACTGATCTAAAACAACTTACCCAAATCACTTGGAATTCTTTCCCAAATTCCCCAGAATGCAAGAGTTGTGGTTTAAGTAATTTTAAAAAGGTTTATTGTATCAGATATATTTATAGATATTTACATTGGTTTAAATGAATTAAACTAATCTATAGTTTTTGGATCAATTTCAAATTGAACTTTTCTTGGCATTTTTATCAACTGATGTCAGTTGATTTGATAAAAAGTATTATTGATATTCCCTGAATTTCAACATAAATGTAATTTAATGCAAAATTTAAGATTAAAATTTTAATTTCTATGGATATTGCAGAAGTATGTTTTCAGATTTAAAACATGTATACCATTTCAATACAATATAAATTGTATCTAATACAATTACATACAAATAGAAATTCACATCAGTTACAGATTATGAAATTCTGCTCAATTTTGTAAGAATAAAAATCTAGATCTTGAATTATATAATGTGACTGGGACTTCCAGAACAATGCCCAATATGGTTACTGAGCATGGTGGAGCACAGGAAGAGGCATCTTTGAACAACATATTTAACCAAAGTTCTTATTACTTGGTTATTAAAAATATCATGGTACAGTTACAAAAATAAATATATTAATCCCTGAACCATGTCTATATCCTACTCTGGTCTTGAATTATTCTACCCACCCAAGGATTCCCCCTTTCTTCAGTTGTCATTCCTCACTTTTACACCTCATTTCCTGTGCAGTATGCTGCTGACTCATTATGCTGCTGCACCCAGGTGAGTACAGTACTAATTCAGGGGCGAATAAAATGGGACTGTTCTTATAT